ATTAACAAGTGGTTCTTTCCATCGTTAATTAACCTGTATACTCTTCTAAAGTGAATTTGTTTTCATCAGTTAAAGTAAAGGGGAAACATAACTGTACATTTCATGTGAAAACTCAAGAGTTCTCCATAACACAGTGCACTCTATATCTCGCTCTCTGGACTGTCTTCCTGAGTTCTTGTCCGCTCCAGGCAGCTTCCTCCCTCTCTGCTCTGTTTGCACAGCACATGGTCGTGAGGCCTCAGTCTCCTGGAGGCTGTCAGATCCTTCAGAGTAGATGTGTCTTTTTATCCCTTGTAAATTGTCTACGTGTTTACGAAATGTTATTGGATGATTAAATGAATATAGAATGTTTAATTCTCAAAAAAAAAAAAAAAAAAAAGAGAAAGAAATAAAGGGGTGTGAACACTGAAGTTAAAGGTGCTTCTACGAAAAACATTTTTTTGCAGAATTTGACAATGTTGTTCACCTCATGCTCTCTTCTTGAATTATACTTTCTCCTGCTGCTTCATTCTCATCTTTTATCCTCCTCCTCAGTCTCCTTTGTTGGCTCCTCAGGCACTTTTGATTCAACAATTTGCCAACTGAGTTACTGAATTTTCTCCCACAGCAGTCTTCCTCCCTGTCTTTCTTACTTTGGCAAAGAGTGCCACGGCTTAACTAATCTCTTAAGCCAGAAACCTAAATGTCATTCTTAAATGTTTTCTCACTACCCACATCTGCTTTAGTGAACATGTTGTGCCACTGAAATCTGTTGACTTTGTTCCTGCTCACCACAGCCAACTGTTCTCCCAACATCAAGATCTGTGTGCTTTTAATCCATTCCTGATACTAGTTCCAAAGTGATCTAAAATAAAATGACCATTGCATTTCCAGGGTCAAGGTAGCATATTTGAATTGTATTTTTTCACATATATGTTTTCCCTTGAGACTGAGCACATTTACCTTTGTATTCTCAGCACCTAATGCAGTGTCTGTATATAGCAGTTCCTAAACAAAAGTGGCTGCCTTGTTGGTTGGCTGAGTGACTAAATAATTGAGCCATATGATCACTTCTCATTGCTTACAGGCTGGAATCTGAACTTCTTGGCTTCATCTATAAGGCCCTTTACAAAATGGCCTGAACTCTTCCATCTTCCTGGGATGTCCTGCCCCATTCTATCCCCTGGTAATACCATACACTTTTTACACTTTGATGTTCTTGCCTCTGGACATTCTTCTGCTGGTTCCTCTGCTTGAAATGCTCTTTCTGCATGACACCCATGCCCTGTCTTCCATCTATACAGTGACTGCCTTAAAGACCCAGTTCAACTGTAACCTGCCTCTACAGCTTTCTCCCGACAATCTACTTTCTACCCCCAGATCCTTCTGACCCTCAGTAGTCATAATTAAACAATTCCTCATCTGGTTCCAAAAGCATTTCATTCATACCTTCATTATGACACCCATCACTTTGTATTATATTTATTCATATATGTGACTATCTGGCAACACTGTGAACTCATCAAGGGCAGGGACTGGGTCTTGTGGTCTTGCTCATATCCCCAGAATCTAGCCCAGCACCTGAGCACTCACACAGTATATGCCTTTTTGTTGGTGTCATGTGTGTTCTTATTTATTTTTAAAATATGTGTTTTAGCTGAAAAATACCAGCATGGAACATCACCTTCTTTGCTATCATCCTGAGGCAAACCACCAGTATCTCTTGCCTGAATTATTGCAGAGCTTCCTAACTAGTCTTCCTGCTTCTACCCTAGGTGTCCCCTATTTGCTCTCTCCACCCCTCCAGTCTGCAGCCAAGGCGATCCTGCTAAAATGTAAGTCAGAATAAAATACTTTTGGTGGTTTCTCGACTCATATTTAGCAAGATCCAAAGTTTCTACTCAACATGGTCCTATCTGATCTGCTCCTCTGCCCCCACTTATCCTGTGCATAGTGGCTAAGGATGCAGACTTTGGAGTGATACTACCTGGAATCAAATCCTGGCTCTATCATTTACCAGCTGTGTGACCTAGGGCAAATTAATTAACCTCTCTGTGCTTCAGTTTCATCTGCAAAATGAGGGTAATAGTGTCTACCTCATAGGGCTGTTGTGAGAAGTAAATGAGTTAATTGTGTAAAGTACCTAGAGCAATGTCTGGCACATGGTGGATTTTGATAAATCAGATTTTGATAAACAAAAATCTCCTGTCATTCTCCTTGTGTGCTTCTCTCCAGCCATGCTGGCTTCCTTGTTGTTTCTCAAACACACTCCTGTCTCAGGACCTTGCACTTATTGTTCCCTCTGCCTGGAACACTTTTCTCCAAGATACCTCATGGTTTGCACCCCATCTTCTTGCAGGTCTCTGCCTCCACGTCACTTTATCAAGGAGGCCTTCTTTGATTGATCAGCCTTTAGAAAATAGCAACACTGTCACTGCCTGTCCCTTTACCCTGCTTTATTTTTCCTTCATAGCACTTAGCAGCACTGAATATATATTTATATGTTTATTTTCCTTTTGCATATAATAGCTTTTCAATAGATATTTGAATAAATGAATGAAAGACAAAAGTGAGAATATAAATGTCATGATCTCTCTACCAAGATAATAGTAATAAAATTCTAACAATATAGAAAGGACAAAAGGGAAAGCCTCTCTCCCCCTATAGTCATCTGTTTCCCTAAAGGTAACCATAGTTGTGTGTATTTTCAGTTCCATTAACCAATAAGTGTATTGGTTGCTTGCTATGTGTGCAGGAAAATGTTTGAGGTCTGAGGTGCTGAGGGATTAAAAATGCAGAGCCTTTACCTTCTAGGATCTCACAGTCTTTCTGGGGGGAGAACATAAAAGAATTGTGATGTACTGCAGAGTTTAGAAGTGGGAACCATCAGTGTGGGCTTACAAGCTCAGGAAAGGTTTTCTGTATGAGAGATGCCTTAATAGGAGTTTGGAGCTGGGGCAGGTTTCATTCAGTGAGAGGAGAGTGGCCTGGGGGCATGGAGCTCTCATAGCAGAGGTGTCTAGTTTCCATAATGAAAGGGGCCCTTGAGCAAATGAATAGAAGTGGAGTCTGGCTGAAGCTGAGGCTTCATGCTGGGGACCAGTGGGAGAAAAGGCTGGAAAATAGGGGCTGAGACAGTTATAAGAGTACTGAAAGAGTTAGGAGGCATGAGATAATGAAGTGGAACAGAAGAACTATGAAGTAGAGAGATTAATTTTGCTAGACATTTTGTTCAGCCTTTCCTTGAATGTGGGGACTGCCATTGGCGTCCTTAGCATTGTCTGCAGAATCTAGAACTGAGCTCTGCATACAGTGGGGGCTATATTAATGTTATTGGTGGAGATCACTAATAGCCACCTTGGATGGCAGACCTTGGTCCTCTTCTTAGACATTAAATTTGCAGGGTCCTTTGGACTCCCATCTCCTTTTTACTCATGAAAATCTCTAGGCATCATTTTACCTACCAGTTCCTAACAGTTGCAAACACATCCACTGAGACGCCCAAGGCAAACTGGAACAGTTTTTAGCTCTCTTAGCTTCAGAAAATCTCTGATGAACCCACCAACTCAACCTAAATTATCCTGTCTTTTGATTGGTCTTACTCTTCTCTTTTGCTTTAGCTTCCATTTGAGCTGTGATGACAAAGGCCCCGATGTAACCTTAATTCTCTCATTTCACAATAGTCTGAAGAATCCAACCAGATAATGCTGTATCCACAGGGGCTACTTCAACCGTACAACTAAGCAACCTAAGATTTCTAGGAGCAGATAAAACCCATATGCAATCTGTCACTGTTTAGTTTTCATTGCCAAGATAATTCTACAAAGTTAATGAATAGCTGGGTTAGAGTCGGGGAGGGGCAGAGAATGCGTGAAGCCTCTGCTCTGCTTCTTAGCAGGACATTGAGTACATGGTGAGCCATTGAGGATATAGTTGTCACCATCATCATCAAAGTGCTTTTATGAAGGGCTTAAAGCTAGGTCTGCACAGAACTACACAGCTCTGCACCTTCACTTTTAGAGCATGCACGGTTTGAGACCAGATATTGATGTGGACAAATGTAAGATGGATTCAAATCTTCAATATGGCTTAAATCACATATTATATGCCACCATCTCTTTTATGGGTTCCTGATTATTTCTGATATGAAATTTATCAAGTAAATATATCTTATCTCCTCTAGAATATTATCATCTCTTTGAGGGCAAAGAACCCAACCTTACACTCCTGTCTACAGACTTGCTGTACAGGACAAATATACTCAGTAAGGACTGATTAAATCAACCAGAACCCATGGGTAGAAGCAGAGTACCTTTCAAGCTAATTAATCCTTTTGAACCTCAGTTTCTTCCTCTATAAAATGGGGATGGTAACTATAGACTTTATGGGGTTATTGTGAGGATAGAGGAGTCAATACATGCAAATTGCTTAGCACATAACTTAGCATTATCTGCTCAAGCGTTAGGTATTAATTTAAGAATATTAATTTCTGTCTCCTGCTTAAGTAGGAGAGAGATTATGAGGGTGAGTATAGCAGTGCTCACACAAAACTGGGTGTTTAAGCCTATAAAGGCCAACTGGTCAGTTATCTACGCATTGGAATTGAGGGACAAAAAAGATTTACCCTCTCACATATGTTCTTTACTTTTACTCCTGAACAGGGATGCTGTGTGTGTGTGTGTGTGTGTGTAAGCAATTGGCCCCAGTGGGGATTTGCACTGGGAGCGAAGGCTGGGAACAGTCCTTATAGCAGGCACCTTTTTCAAGTCTTCATTCAGCAAACATGTATAGTTAACCCAATCAGTGCCAGGTGTCGTCAAGGAACTGGCGGTTTTGTAGTAGACCAGGCTCGCACCATTGCCTTATTTCACAGAGGAAGGAAGCTAGGTACTAAAGAAAAATTCTTTGTAAGAGCTAACTCAATCTGAAGAATAAAGCCACTTCCTGCACTAGTGCGCAGACGCCGTACGCTGGCGCAGCCGAGCTCGTCTGGAGCAGCGGAGCGTTTCCGGCGCAGCGTGAGCTCCGCAGAGGCCAATGGGTGCACGCCGCAAGAGCCGCGCATGCGCCCTGCAACCTAGCCCGGTAGTGGATTTCTGGCGCTGAGAACGAAACCACCGAGATGAAGTAAGGCCTCAGCTTCTTTCTGAGGAGGGGGTCGGTGGGGATAGGAGGGGAGTGGTGGGGATCGGTTGGAGGCTGGCCGCCCAGGGTGACCCACCTGGTTGGGGTGGTAGAGCGTCTTCCAGACTTAGGGGCGTCAGCGGCTCGAATTCTAGAAAACTAGTCCCCTAGTTTTGCTTTCCCTTACCCCAGGCCAGGTCGCACTTACTTGTCTACTTTTTTGCCTCCTGTGCAGCCCTTTAACTAAAGTGAAGCTAATCAATGAGCTGAATGAGCGTGAGGTCCAGCTTGGGGTGTCGGATGAGGTGTCCTGGCACTCCGAGTACAAAGACAGCGCCTGGATCTTCCTGGGTGAGGTTCACATCTTTCTCCAGTAGTGCTCCTCAGTCTCTGTTGCCCTGCTTCCTAACATTTCAGCTTTCCCTCCCTTCATTCCTCCCGACGTTTCATCTCCCACTATTATTTCTTTCTGCTGTCTGCCTATAAATCTGCCCCCCTCCCCCCGTATAGTTTGCTCTCCCTGTCAAATGAGTGCTGATAGTTACCGCCGTCTGCCATTCACTGTGCTGAGTCTTGCAACTTTCTCAGACCGTTATTATCATTTATATACTTCTTTACTTTTTATTTTTATTTTTTATTGCAGTTGCCATACACTGTTATATTAGTTTTAGGTGTACAACATAGTGATTAGACGTTTATAGAACTTACAAAGGGATCGCCCTGTTAAATCTGGAACCCATGTGACATTGTACATAGTTATTACAATATTATTGACTATATACTCTATGTTGTACTTAACATCCCCATGACTATTTTGTAACTACCAATTCCTAATTCCTTTACCCTTTTCACCCATCCCTCTAACCCTCCTCTTTGGCAACCATCAATCTCTTCTTGGTATCTATAAGTCTGTTTCTGTTATGTTTGTCTGTTTATTTTGTTTTTTGGATTCCACATATTAGTGAAATATTATGGTATTTGTCTTTCTCTCAGACCATTATTATCACCCCTTTCCCCCAATATGCAGCTGAGGAAACTGAAGCACCTTGAAGTCAATGGACTTTTTAAAAATTGTTTTTTTTCTGTATTGATTTTAGAGAGAGAGAGGAAGGGAGCGGGAGAGGTAGAGAGAGAAACAATAATGAGAGAGAACATCAGTTGACTGCCTCCTGCATGCCCCCCACTGGGGATCAGGCCCACAACCTGAGCATGTGTCCTGACTGGGAGTTGAGCCGGCGACCTCTTGGTGCATGGGTTGATGCTCAACCACTGAGCCACACCGGCTGAGTTTAAAAAATTAATGGACTTTTTAAGGTCACAAAGCTAGTAAGTGGGACAGCTAGAACTATGGGATTCTAGAACTCATGGTCTTAGCCACTCTCCCATATTACTGCTAATTTCATCCCACCCCAGTCCCCTTCTTTCAGAATTCATTTTCCTCATCTGATTTGCTCCAGCCTTCTGTCTATGTTCATATTACCATTTCTATATTCATTCGGTGTCACATCTAGTAATTTGACAGTTTGTTCAAGGAGGCAATGCACCAGTCATGGTGCTAAGCACTTTACATCCATTGTTTTATTTAATTCTTATAACAATTCCATGAGGTAAATACTAATATCTCCATTTTCCAAACAAGGAAGGAAACATTTGCAGGGGAATTTATTTCCTATGGAATGCTTAACAATTGTCTTTATAATCCTTAGTCTATGTGAAATGGAGTTAATATTTGCATATTTAAACTGATTTTGGATCTTAGTGATGAATTTGTGAGTAAGGTGCAGATGAGTTCAAGAAATATTTGTGGAAGCAGAATTTTGTTTTGGAAGTAATCTTCTTTGTCCATAAGAATTTAGGTATGAGGAGGATTAATTTGGTTAGTGGTGACTTTGACCTTTCCACTGAGTCACTCCTTTTTCCGTACTACTGTTGCAGTGTATAGGTGCTTCTGTCATTGCACCAGACTGAGTTCTCTGTGGCTTACTCTTGCACCCTCAGTGTCTGGCCTAGTACATGGTTTATAATAGACACTTGGTAACTGTTGAATTGAATTGTGGTTTTCTCTGCTAGGAGGACTTCCTTATGAACTGACTGAAGGGGACATCATCTGTGTGTTCTCACAGTAAGTACCCTTTCATTTCCTGCCTTCTGGGTTGTCAGAGTAGTTTACTTCCATAATACATTTTTGTGGCATCACAAAAGCTATTTATTTTAATTCTAGGTTGACTGGCCTGCCTGCATGGGGAGGGCTGGAGCTCCTATTCTAGTCTAGGTCTGTCACAGAACATGGTTCTAGAATTATTCCAGTATGAAAAAATCCAAGAAGTTGGATGTTTTAAGAAGCTGCCTTGGAGATGCTGGTCTGCTTTTTCACTGGGGCTTGTTCAGTGTGGGCCTACATTGGAACAGATGGCAACTCCCGGGAAGATACTATGTTGGCCCATCTCCTTGGGCTCCTTTCTACAAACTAGGGGTAATTCATGATCACAGGGCCCTTCTGGGCTAACACCTGTATGGCCTTGTAGAATTAGGGCAAAACACAGAGGAACTGGTGAAAAAAAAAAGGCAAAAGGTTTAGGCAGTATTTTCTTTCTTTGTTTCTAGATGAGTGTAAGGTTGGTGAGCAGAGTCAGTCTCTACCCAGAGGCGGAGAATCACAGGCTGATAAGGAACATGAATGAACAGGAGAACCTTATGTTCTTTATTCTGTGAGATGATAGCAGCAGCACTTGGTGAGAGAGGGTCTTGGCTGCTCACACTGGTAGTGGCAGCTGGTAGGAGAGGGGCTGGGCACAACCCCAGAGCTACACAGAGTGAGTAGATAGTCCATAGGGCCAGAGGGCCTTGACAACTCACAGGAGCAGAGGTCCATGGCCCCTAGGTTGTGTAGCCATCAGGGGCAGAGGGCAGTTGCAGAGAAGTTGGATAGCATGTGCAGGCAGAGGACCATGGTAACAGGATGTAGCAAGCAAACATGGCCAGCACATCCTGGCAGAGACGCTGCCATGGCAGGAGATGGCTTGGGCCATCCCATAAGCAGAAGGCCCTGGCTGAGTGGGTGGGCAGCAGACAGGGCAGAAGGCCATGGTGCAGGGCGTGGGCAACCCAGATAGGCAAAGAGCCAAGGCAGGCATAGGTGTTGCTTCCTCCAACTTCTGGGCAGCAGGAAGTTCACAGCAGGTGCAGCCTATAATTTTCACCCCTTCATAGTACCCCTATCTGCTCCAGCCTTCCATCTAGGAGCTATTTTTGTCTTATTTACACTGAGTGATGATCAACTAGTATGTAGGTTTGTTCCAGTACACATTGCTCTCCATGAAGATTGCCTTTGTCACTGATAACAATGGCTTCAAAAATAATTTGTTTTCTGATTATCAAGGTAATGTATAGTCATTATAGAACATTTGGTGAAAAGAAAAGGTATTCAGAAGCAAATAGAATGTACTTTTGAGACGACATGGAAGGACTTGGAGAGTATTATGCTAAGTGAAATAAGCCAATCAGAGAAAGACAGATATCACATGATCTCACTTATTTGTGGAATATAATGAACAAAATAAGTGGATGAGCAAAATAGACCCAGAGGCATAGAAGTATGGTTCAGACTGACAAACCTCAGAGGAGGTGGGGCAGGGGGAGGGAAGAGATAAACCAAAGAATTTATATGCGTATATGTATAACCAATGGACATAGACAACAATGCTGTGTGTGTGCGGGGGTGGGGGGGGGAGGCAGTGGGATCGGGAGGAGGGTGTCAATGGGGGAAAAAGGAGAAACATCTGTAACAAAAATAAATTAATGAAAAAAAGAATGTATTTTAAGGAAAAACTTAACAATTTGGTATACTTCTTTATCATCTTTTAAAAATTGTTGGGAATAATTTCCAGTATTTGCTGTTATAAATTATAGTGCCGTGTTCATTGTGGTATCTACATCTTTGTATGCACTCCTAATGGTTTCCTTGGTGAAATTACTGGATCCATATGTTAGCATTTTTAAGATGTTATATAAACATTGCCATATTGCTCTCTGAAAAGGTTATATCAATTCCTACTCTTACTAGAATGCACATTTTTCTGACTCTCTAATCAGCAATTGTTATCTTAAAAAATTTTTCCACATGGCTACTCATTATTATTTTACTTTGCTTTTATTTCATCATCAGTGAGGAGTATATTTTTTCATAGATTTACAGGCCATTATTTCTTTTTTTGGTTAATTGTCTATTTATGTCCTTTGCCTATTTTTTTCTATCGATGTGTTCCTCATTTTCTTACTGACTTTTATAAGAGCCCTTCATGTATTAAGGATATTAACTCTTTGTTATAACACTTTTTCAAGTATTGTATTACTATGGACTTATTTTTTTAAAGTTTGATGTATACTACATTGTCATCATTGTTATTTCTTGATGCTCAAATTGTTCCAATTTGATCTGTTAGGACTCCCTTCAAGACAGCTCCTGTAGCCTGGCTAGTGTGGTTCAGTGGTTGAGCGTCGACCCGTACACCAAGAGGTCACCGGTTCGATACCCAGTCAGGGCACATGCCCAGGTTGTGGGCCAAATTCCCAGTGGGGGGTGTGCAGGAGGCGGCCAATTGATGTTCTCTCTCATTGATGTTTCTATCTTTCTCTCCCTCTCCCTTCCTCTCTTTCTAAAAATTAATAAAGAAAAAAAAATTTAAAAAGACAGCTCCTATATTCTTTTTTTCTTTAACTGTTTCTTTTGAAATAATTGAGGCTTAAAACTGAAAAGTTATAAAGTTGTATAAACAATATATTTATCCCTTTTACTCAGAGCCCCCAGATGTTAGCATTTTACCACATTTGCTTTATTGTTATTCTCTGCACGTATACATATTTTTTTGAACTAGTTGAGAGTCAGTTGCAGATGTGATACCCATTTATCCCTAAATTCTTCAATGCATATTTTCCCCAAAATAAGGACATTCTCTTGTTTAATTTCAGTATAGTGATTAAATTTTAGAAATTAACACTGATACAATATTATTATCTAAAGACTATTCAACTTCACTAGTTATCTTAATAATGTCCTTTATAGCAAAAGGAAAAAAATAGCTTTCTGGTCCTTAATCTGCAAAGCAAATTGCAAATGATATGTTCTCCTAGTTTGTCATTTGTCTTTGCTTATTGTGATTTTTATGCTATGCAGAATCATTTTTATTTTTATGCATTCATTCATGTTTATCTTATGGTAAAATGGACTTTTTAGGGGGTGTACAGTCCTATGAGTTTTAATACATGTGTAGATTTGTGTAATCACCCCCACATTTAGGATGAAGAACAGTTCCAAAAACTCCTTCATGCTGTCACTTTATAGTCTCTCCCTCTAATATTCTATGTGGTCAAATTTATTCGTCGTTTTTGTTGCTTCTGGATTTTGAGTCATAATTAGAAAGTATTTCTTCCCATCTGTGTTCTCGTCTAGTGCTTTCATGGTTTCAATTTTGTACATTGAAATCTCTGATCCATTTAGAGTATTCTGATAAATAGTGTGAGATATGGATCCAATTTCATGTTTTTTCAAATGGTTATATAGTTGTCCCAACAACATTTATAAATATGCTCATATTTGTCCAGCCAGTGTGGCTCAGCGGTTGAGCATCAACCCATGCACCAAGAGGTCACTGGTTCAATTCCTAGTTGGGACACATGCCCAGTTTGTGGGCCAGATCCCCAGTGGGGAGCATGCAGGAAGCGGCCAATTGATGTTCTCTCTCATTGATGTTTCTATCTCTCTTTCCTAACTTCCTCTCTCTAAAATCAATAAAGGAAAAAATTTTTTTTTAATTTAAAAAAATGTTCCTATTTTCCCCAGCAAAGTGGGATGTTACCCTTATCATATATGATTTTTCTATATATACCTGAGTCTCTTTCTTGGTTTTCTATTCTGTTCTATTGGTCTGTCTGTTTCTTCATGTACCAGTACCACATTAATTAATCATAGAAGCTTTTCAGTGTGTTTAATATCTGGGAGAGTTATTCATACCTATTGTTTTTTTTATTAAGTTTCCCCAGCTATTCTGTTTATTTTTCCACAAGGACTTTAGAATCAACTTATCTAGCTCCAGAGGAAAAAAAACTCAACTTGTATTTTAAATTGAGATTGCATGAAATTTCAGTATTAACTTTGGGGAAAATTTTGATATCTTTATGATGACTCATTCTATCCAAGAACAAGAGATGTCTTTATATTTGTTTAAATCTATGTTTGTATCTTTTGAGAGTTTAAAAAAGTTTTCTTTATATAGACTTTATATATTGATTATATTTTCTAACTGAATATTGCTTGTATGTAAGAGAATGATTTATTTTTGTTAATTTAATGTCCTTTCACCTTACTGAATTGTTATACTGTTTGTTTTTATCATTGTTTATCACTGATCTTGGGTTTTCTATCATTGATTCTCTTGGGGTTTCTATATGTACTATTATATATGATCTTAAATAAGAAATAGTTTTACTTCTTTTTTTCATTTCTTGTATCTGTTTTCTGCTAATTGCATTGGCCAATACTTATAGAGTTAAATAGTTCTGATCTTAGTTGAATCATCTCTAGTAACTTCTACTAAGTAAGGTGCTAGATTCTGAGCCCAGTTGTATGTATGTGATCATGTATCAATTCCCATTTTAATTTTATGACTTTATTTTTTAATTTGCGATACTTTAACTTATCTGGAATGTATCTGTGGATAAGGAGTAAGGTAGAATTTTAACTCTCTTCTGCTTTCCATATGTTTGCTTTCTTGGTTTTAGCTACATCCCATAAGTTTTAGCAGATATAATTCATTTTTGCAATTTTCTAAGTAGTCTGCTATTGACTTTTTCTTTATTTTGTTTTATTTTTTTCTTTTATTCATTTGTTAACCAGGAGAGTGGGTTTTAAGTTCTAAGTTTACTTTGAGACCTATGCTATAGTCAATTTTATTACATGTTTCATGGAATCTTGAGGCAAACTTGTCATATTTTTATGGTTCAAATATATCTCTATACTAGTCTGACAGTGTTAACAATTTAATTGTTATATTATTAATTACATGTTTATTTGTATTTATATTACATAATTATATACATTAATTCTCCTGACCTTTTTTTTTGGTCAACTTTGTGTTATAAATTTAAAGTGGTATGTTAAAATCTCTCATAATTTTCATTATTAGTTTCTCTTTGGATTTCTAAGTTTTTTATTTTTTATTTTATTTTATTTTTTATCTTCACCCGAGGACATTTTTCCACCCTTTGTTCAGATAGAGTGGGAGGGAGAGAGAGAGAGAAACATCGACGTGAAAGGGACACATCAAGTGGTCACCACCGCACAACCCAACCAGGGCCGGGGACAAACTGCAACCGAGGCACATGCCCTTAGTGGGAACCGAACCCGGGTCTCTCTAGGCCGCAGGCCAATGCTCTAACCGCTGAGCCAAACCAGCCAGGGCGGATTTCTATGTTTTTTAATTAAATTTTTTGATTTGTTAATTTATGCATAAAACTTCATGACTTATACTTTTATTATGTATTAGAACCTATTTTGGGGCCTTGAATTCATCTTCAGTCTTAATATTACCACCCACTTTTTAATTGAGTATTCTTGCTATATCCTTGTCTAACTTTTTTCTTTTTTAATATGTTTTTAATTATTTTTTAAAGAGAGAGGAAAGGAGAGAGAGATAGAAACATCAATGTGAGAGAGATACATTGACTGGCTGCCTCCTGCATGCCCCCCTACTGGGGATCAAGCCTGTTAAACCAGGCTTGTGCCCTGACTGGGAATCGAACTGAGACCTCTCAGTCCAGGGGACAGTGCTCAATCCACTGAGCCACACTGGCCTGGCTAACTTTTTATTTTTAACTTTGCTGTGTCATCTTGTTCTAGATGTGTCTCCTGTACAGATTATATTATTTGAATTTGATTTTGTCATCCAGTCTGAAAGTCTTTGCATTTTAAATCAATAGTGTCTTTACTCTTTTATAAAATAAATAGATATGGGGAGATTGTTAACATTAATCTGGTGCGGGATAAGAAGACTGGGAAATCCAAAGGATTCTGTTTCCTCTGCTATGAAGACCAGAGGAGCACAATTCTGGCTGTTGACAATTTTAATGGGATCAAGGTGAGTATGCTTACTAAGCAGGATTTGGCTGGACTTTTACCATTTAGGGGTTTGGTTTCATTTCCCACCTTACCTCCACACACTCAAAGACAATACTAGTCAGCTGAGTGTGTTGTGCGGGTTGTAGAGGTATGGGGCATACTGACCAACAAATGATCCTAGGAAATTATTCCATTGGCTTATGACCCTTCTATCTTATTTCTTTTTTTCATCTCTTAACTGTCTCTCCAGGAGCATAGGTACCATGTCCCTCACCCCAGGCATCTATTTCTCACCTTTTCTTCCTCACACTCCATTCTTACCTTTGGTGTATTTGGAGAACAAAGAGGCTAACATATACTGCTCTTCCATGCTGTCCTGTATTAGGGGATTTGGGGCTGTATCATGGCTTCATGACCTAGGACATAGCTGTGTATGTCTGTCATATGTCTCCACTGACTTAGAAATCAATAGTGGGCCCTGGATATTCTCTAGTTAAAATCTCATGACAAATGCTACAAAAGTAACTCATTCTGAAGTTTTCTCTCCTCTTTTTCCTCTAACCCCAATCCTTGTAAGTGAGACATTGGTTTGAGAAAAGGGGATGAGGCAAGTCAGGCTTATTTATGCTCCACATGGTCCCTGCACTCATTTAGGAAAAAATGCAGTTGAATGAGCATTGTCACAGACTGGGAGTTGACTGTTGACTTGGAGAGTGTGTCATTGATTGCATAAGTATGGAAGAGTTGGAGACTATAGGACAGAGTGGTACAAAGTTGCAGGTTTGATTTTTTTTTTTAATCCTCGCCTGAGAACATTTTTGCATTTTTATCTTGAGATAGAGCAGGAGGGAGAGAGGGAGGAATAAAGAGAGAGAGAAACATCGACGTGAGAGAGGCACATCGAGTGGTTGCTACCCACACGACGCCAACCGGGGCTGGGGACAAACTGCAACTGAGGTACGTGCCCTTAGCAGGAACTGAATCCGGGACTCTCTGGTCTGCGGGCCGATGCTCTAACCACTGAGCCAAACTGGCCAGGGCACAGATTTGATTTTTAAGAGAGCCAGCAGTCAAAGGGAGTTACCATAAAAGGAAGGTTTTCAAAAATGTTTTGAAATGGGGAATAGGATAGATGACAGAAGCATCTTAGACCAAAGATGATAATAAAAATCTGCTCTTGTATTAGAAGTATAAAAGCCAGACATTTTTAAAATTTCAGATGGATTTGCCTATTGAATAAGTCTGTATCTGCCTGAATGTTTTTGTTTTGGTGAGGGGTTATTTTTTGTTGTTGTTGTTGCTCAGCCAGAGAGTGTGATTTCAGTGAAAGTATCGGTGTGAGCCAGTTGTTCTGGTAGGGTGGAGGTGGAGCAAGGTGTGAGTGCCTAAGGAAAAAGACAGTGGTCTTTTCAGCACTGGATGAAATAACCAAGTGATTGATATAGCTAGGAAAAAAACAAAGAACAAAATAAAACAAGACAGTAGTCTTTCTAGATTCCTCCCCCCCCCACACCTGTTGGTCGCCCTGGCCTCATCCTAATTGCTGTGTTGAGGAAGCAGCTGTAGCATTGAGCTCGATTTCAGGAATTTCTTCTAGCTGCCATGGTATATTTAACTATAAATTAATGTTATAGATAGAAGTAATTCACTATTTGTGCATCTAAATTATGACACTTTTCTCTGCTGCTTGTAGGCAGAATTTACCAACCTTTTTTCACTTCATGGCATACATAAAACTTGAATATATTTGTATGGCACCCTGGGGTAAGCTGAGGAAGCTACCGAATACAACTGATCCTTGGGCTTCAGCTGCCCCAGGCCCCACCTGGTTGCCCTGAGAGCTGAGTGAATTAATATCTAGGTATATGTGCTGTGACAAACCAGTTGGGCAGGTCTGTTTTAGAGATTTTCCCAGAAATAGAATTAGCTGGAAGGTAATGCGTGTAGTTCAAACCATGGCTCTCTGCCACTGGGTTCAAATAGTTTCATAGGAGGTTTGTCTTTGCTGAAGCATTGCCTCTCTATCTTAGATCAAAGGAAGAACTATCCGAGTGGATCATGTGTCTAACTATCGGTCTCCTAAGGACTCAGAAGAAATGGATATTGTGACCAGAGAGCTCCAGGATAAGGGCTGTGGGTCTCAAACCCCCTCACTGAATTCATCTGAGGGCTCTGAAGATGATAAATCCACCAAAAAGCACAAAAAAGGTAAAATGTTAGGACCTAAGAGAAGATTTTGGGCAGTGTTAGTATTTCATCTTTCTAGCATTCACTGAGACTTGATAGTTCTTACATGTGGAGGGCAGGGGAAAGTGTGGGGAGCCTTACTTTAATTGGGAAAGGAGAGGTAGTATCAGCAGAAGGCTAATATTATGGGCTGCATTGTGTTCCTTAAAATTTATACATTGAAGTCCTAACTGTGAGTTCCTCAGAAAATAACTATTTGGAAGTAGGGCCTTTAAAGAGATCATTATGGGTGGGGATTCCTCATATAGTAACATGACACATCATGGGTGACAGATCCAACTTGGCTTCTCAGAGGCGCTCTTCTGGAAGGATAGACTATGACTGCTTGATGCTGCTGCCAAGGATACTTTCCTTTTGCATATCCTCCATGTCTTCTATTTTCTTTGTCTTATTGATTGCACCCGCCCCCCCTTCCAGACAAAAAGGAAAAAAGGAAAAGAAAGAAAGACAAAGAGAAGACTGCTCGGGAGGTACTTCCAGAGCAGCCAGCCTCCTCTTCAACTCCCAGAAGCAAGATGATAAAGGAAAAGGATGACCCTGGCTTTAAAAAGCACAGCAGCAAGGACTCAGAGAGGAGTCAGAAGCCAGAGTCCAGGGAGGTGTGGAAGCACCACCCCAGCTCCCCTCAGGTCAAGACAACCTGCCATGGGGGAGCAGAGGACCGGGAGAGGGAGCTGAAGAAGGAGAAGCCCAAGCACGAGCACAGGTCCTCAAGCAGGAGGGAAGAAAGAGAAGAAAAAAACAGGGATAGGGACAGAGGTCGAAGCTCAGACATACATTCTGGCTGGCATGAGGGGCGTTCTGAGGGACATAGCCATAGAAGTAGAAGTAGGAGCCGAGATAAATCCCACAGGCCTAAAAAGGCCCAGCACTCTCGAGACCTGGACTCCTCGAATCCCAATGATCGCAGGCATCACTGAAGCTGCAGCCTGGGCAGCTGCTTGGTAGAATTGGAAATTAACTACATTTTAAAAATGCAGTTATGCTTTTACTATTTCTGTATGTAAAATCTCTGAGGCTGCATTCTTTAATCCCTTGAGTATTGAGTTATCGAGAGAGCAGTAGTTTCAACAGCTAAATGTCCTAGAGTTTTGAGCAAAATCTATTGTCCCTGGGAACATGCTTGGTATTTATCAGAGTACATAACCCTAAAATTGGGTTCATAAGTATGGCCCTTGACTTTATGACTTCAATTAATGATGAAATGTCCAGGAAAGGGGAAGTACCATGTATTTCTAGAATTCTAGTCTTTGTGATAGGTGTTTAGAACTCTTGCAGTGACCTTTCCAGTTGGCAGGTAGACCCATAGAATAGAGAAGTGTGGCTTAACTAGGTTTAGACAGCTTGATGTGAATGTGATAATAATGAAGTGAAATTCACATAACATAAAGGTAACCATTTTAAAGGAAACAATTCAGTGGCATGTAGTACATTCACAGTATTGTAAAGCCACCACCCCCATCTAGTTCAAAAACATTTTTATCACCCCACCATGAAATCCTATACTCATTAAGCAGTTATTTCCCATTTCTTCCTCCTTGTCCCTGGCAACCACCAATTTGCTTTCAATTTCTATGGATTTACCTATTGTGGACATTTCGTATAAATGGAATCATACAATGATTTTGTGTCTGGTATCTTTCACTCAGTATGTTTTCAAGGTTCATCTGTGTTGTAGCATGTATCAGTACTTATTTCCTTTTTATAGCTGAATAATATTCCATTGTGTGGATATACCACATTTTGTTTATCCATTCATCTGGATGGATATTTGGGTTGGTTAGCTCTAGTGCTTTGCTTTTTTTTTTTTATCCTCACCCGAGGATATTTTTCCATTTTTTTGTACAAGTAGAGTGGGAGGGAGAGAGAGGAAGGGAGAGAGAGAGAGAAACATCGACGTGAAGGGACACATCGAGTGGCTGCCACTCGCACGACCATCCAGGGCCGGGGACAAACTGCAACCGGAGTACGTGCCCTTAGCGGGAACCGAACCCGGGTCTCTCCGGACCGCAGGCTGACGCTCTAACCGCTGAGCCAAACTGGCCAGGGCTTTAAAACTATTTATTGAATTTATTGGGGTGACATTGGTTAATAAAATTATACAGGTTTCAGGTATACAATTCTATAATACATCATCTGTATATTATATGGTCTGCTTACTGCCTGAAGTCAAGTCTCCTTCCATCACCATTTATTCCCCCTTTACCTTCTACCTCCCCCCAAACACCCTCATTCTGGCAATCACCATACTATTGTCTGTGTCCATGAGTCTCTTGTGTCTTTGTGTAGTCCCTTTATCCTTCTCACCCAGCCCCAACCCTTCCCCTCTGACAGCTGTCTATTCTCTGTATGAATCTGTTTCTATTTTGTTCATCAGATTTCACATATAAATGAAATCATACGGTACTTGTCTTTCTCTGACTTAGCTAACCAACTTCCTTTCCATGTTCCTGACATATCAGGCTACTCGGAGGTTTAGTCTGCTTTTTGAGTAGCTGCTCTTGCTGAGATGAGAACACTTTGTCCGCTCAACTGCATATTTTTCTGGTCTGCTTGGCAGTTCTTTCCCATTTTGAGAGTGTTGTCTTTCTATCTTAGCAATCAGTCATTTATGAGTTTGGTAGGAACTGGTTCACAGGATCTTAACACCTCTGCTGAGTTATTAAAATTGAATTACTGACTCTGCAGAACAGGACTAGAGCTATAATAGCGAATGCACTAAGTTAGGTTACTAGGTGTGTTAGTTTGGCTCCTAGATTAGATGTGGAGGATTTTTGTGGGGGGATGCCCAAGAGGGAAAATGGGGAGGGAGCTGGAGGAGTCTGGGAATGCTGTCAGACTATGATGTAGGTCTGACATCTGGAGAAGAGAGGGAAGGAAAGAAAGAAGTGTGGGTAGGATAAGTCTTATACTGCTGTGGAGTTCTAATAACATTTCAGCAAGACCAGTGGTGAGTCCTTGAACCAAAGTTGCCTGTCAGAGGAATCCCACAAGATAAGCCTTGGTAAGCAGGGCCTTCATCAGCCATGTGGCCACTCTGCTTGTGTGTCCATAATGCCAATTGTTTGTAAAGTCCCATTCACTTGGCTGAATCATTTTGCCTACTTAGTGGTTTAGAGCCTCTTCCATGGTGGATGCTGTCTGATAAGTGTTATCATGTGGTACAGAAATCTTCCCACTTTGCCTGCTTGTACGTTATTCCATAGTCTTTATTTATTTATTTTTAATTTTTCTTTTTAAGAGAGAGAGGAAGGGAGAGAGAGAGCAACATCAATATGAGAGAGAAACATTGATCGGCTGCCTCCTTCACGCCCCCCACTGGGGATTGAGCCTGCAACCCAGGCTTGTGCCTGGACTGGGAATTGAACCAGGACCTCTCAGTCCATGGGATGACACTCAATCCACTGAGCCACATCAGCTGGGCAACACAGCCTCTACATCAGACTTCTTTGATTTTACAGCCTCTATCCTTCTGGGCTAACTAGACGGCCAGGCCATTTACTAATGCCCAGGAATCTTTATATTCAATGGTCTCATGTCAGGCCACTTCTAAACCAAGGCAGGTGCACTACTTGTGGTTCTGTTCATTGAAAAACATTTTCTTCTTCACCCTTGAATGTGACTAATGCAGATACCATCCATCTTCATTTTGTACTCATACTGAGCTGACGCATCTGTAAACCAAGTTGAAGCTCCTTTCTCCTTAATATGGTCATTCAGGAACCCCCCAATTTATGATAGGTGCTACCACTCTGCATCTTTTAGGTTTTCAGTAGTGGCACTGATATGTTTCATCTCCCCTGGGATGATATATGTATATAAAGGAATATGTCTTATGCAGATGTGGGGACTTGTTAGGCAGATCGGACATTTATAAGGCAGGCTGGCAGGCCAGCAGGCCAGCAGGCCAGAAACTCTTGGGTAGGAACTGACACTGCAGTGCACAGGTAGAATTTCAGTAGGGAAATCACTATTTTAATCTTAAGGCCTTAAACTGATTGGAGTTGAATAACTTGGCCCACCCAAGTTATTCCAGGCTAATATTTACTTAAAATGAACTGATTATAGATGTTAACCACATCTACAAAATACCTTTATAGCAACACTTTAGTTAGTGTTTGATTGACTAATTGGATGCTATAGCCTAAGTCAACTTGACGCCAAAAAGTAAACATAATTTACTCTTATTGATGGTGGTGGGGGGTAGTTTTAGAGGTTTCTACTTGGCTTTCCTCATTGTGACAGCTCTTACCCTATAGGCCAAGGGCCCATTTTTGGGGTTATTCCCAACCATCAACTCAGTTCCAATTACACACTTAAGGACTGGGAAATGACAACTAGGTAGATCTGCAGGCCCACTGTGAGTCCTGTTTTAGCCAGCACTTCAGTTATTACTCTGCCTTTGAAGTCCCTAGTCTAACAAGGGCTGTGATGATGCTTTGGGTCTCTGGGTATCAATGTCAACTTTGATCTTGAGTCCAGTATGCCTCGGATGTTTTGCTCTTCTTTCCCCAGTGTGCATATAGCCAAGTGAGTGGCTGTAGGTCCTTTGGGGAGAGATACTAGGGGAAATCATTACCTACTCCATTGCCCTTTCTCCTAGGGACCCAGCTATCTCTTCTAGATCTGAAAACATGCTGAAGTCTGGATATTGAGCAAGGAATTAGGACTTTTTATTAGGGAAACCCTCTTAAACCTCTTGCTCCTCTACTCTTGTCTTTTTCAGCTTGCAGAGCTTGAGCATGACTCGTTGGCTATATTTCTAAGGACACCCATGGTCCATTTGTATCTCCACAACTCCCTGTGGGTAAATCCCCCTTGGCTGCCCTTCAGACATTGTAATTCTGAAATTCATTTTGGTATTAGTGGGCTGGTGGCTGTTACTCTGGGGTCCCAGCTCTGTGATGGTCTCTTACTGCCATCCCTGGCCTGCAGAAGAGGCCACTTCTGAGTGTAGTGATATTGGTGCCCCTTTCACCAGTGCCTTCTCGAGGGACTTGGTGAATGGGGGTGTACTCTGGGTCCTCCTATGAAATAGTCCCTGAAAGGGTTAATAATGTTTTAAAGGGTAAAGGTGAAAGCTTACAAAAGGCAGAAACTGAGCCCTGGCCGGTTTGGCTCAGCGGTTAGAGCATTGGCCTGTGGTCTGGAGAGACCCGGATTCGGTTCCTGCTAAGGGCATGTACCTCAGTTGCAGTTTGTCCCTGGCCTTGGTTGGGTCGTGTGGATGGCAACCACTCGATGTGTCCCTTTCACGTCGATGTTTCTCTCTCTCTCTCTTCCTCTCTTTCCCTCCCACTCTATCTGAACAAAATATCAAAAAAAAAAAAAAAATGTCCTTGGGTGAGTATAAAAAAAAAAAAGGCAGAAACTGTGAAAAATGCATTGCTTGCATGACCTTTGCTCAGCCTTCTGTTGAGTATGGATTATCCGGATTATCTGCAAGGTCAGGAACCACCTAGCAGATGTGGGATGTGATACCAGTCCAAAGTGGACAATGGGCCATGCAGAGTACATCAGCAGGAACTGCCGGAAACTGGAAGCAGATTATATAACCTACGTATCAACTGCTATCTGAGGCTGACTCCTTTATCAGGCTCAGCCCACCTCCACCCAGGCATATGCAATAAAGTCGTTTTGCTCTACATTGACCTTGCATTGTGGTTGTGATCTTCCGCTGGCTCAGACCTTTTATTTGGTGCCGAAACTCAGGATGTCTGTGAAGATCCCACATAGGGGGCAACCACGGGCCTCCAGAGTCCTCTGGGCCTCCCATCAGACTAGGCTCAATCACATCCTCAGCCAGATACTGGACCTCCAACCTTTCCTGCCGATTGAGCATCAACACCTGACACTAATTTGCTGGTGAGTGTTTTTGCCTACAGGTCTCATTCTCCAGGCTGTTCTGTTGTCCCTGGTCCAGGACATAAGAGAGCCAGGTCTCTCAGTCATGTCTGTGTGATCATCCCTCCTGAAATCCAGCGCTGGTCGGGACACACACTTCAGGAACCAGGTTCCCTCAGCTCACTGTATATTTAGGGATGCCTGATATAAGTGAGTTGCACATGTCTTTACTCTAGGGAAGAAGGGGGTATGCCTTCTTCTACCACTAGTGTATCTGTTCAGACCACTAGACCACAACATCTCACACCACAACATGGAAAACACTCAATCTTCCATCCCTCGTACAACACCCCTAGGATGTCTCCTAAAAAATCTACAGACCCTAGGGCTCGCTCAGGACTTACATCCCAAGCAACTAATTTTTTACTGCAACACTTTGTGGCCTCAATACAAACTAGACAATGGGTCACAATAGCCTGAGAACAGCACTTCTGATTTCAACATTCTCACTGATCTAGACAATTTCTGTTGAAGGCAAGGAAAATGGTTTGAGGTTCCTTATAGCCAGGCTTTTTTGCACTCAGAACATGCCCCTCTTTATGCAATTATTGTTCTCCCTCCCAAATCTTACTCCACTCTAATCTTCCCAAACTTCACTCTGAAGATGATGTGCTAACTTCTCCTGTTTCCTCCTTTGACCCAGCCGATCTTGCTCCACCACCTCCTCCCTCAGCCCCTCTGGCAG